TCAGCCCCCGCCCTCGGGGGACCTGTCCCCGGCCTTCGCCCCCCTCGGGAGGTGGAGGGAGCGGGCCGGGGCACGCGACGGGGCCGGGGCGGGGCGGGGGGCGGGGCGAGGTGCCACCGGCGCGATAAATCCAGGCAGCGCCCCATCGCCGCCGCCGCCGCCGCCGCAGAAAGCGGCAGCTGGCCTGCCCGCGCAAATTAGGTCTTTTATTATTCCCGCTTGGGAACGACCGGAAGCCGAAGAAGGACAGGGGGCGTCGGCGACGGCGTCGGCGGAAGGCGCGCGCTCTGTGGGGGTCGCGGCGCATTGGCAACAAAAAAGGCGTGCGATTGTGCTCGCTCCACTTTCCCCGTCCTAATATGTATTTTGATTTTTTTTCCTTCACCGCACTGTGTCTAATGGGGCTTTTACGTTTCAAAGATATTGTCTTGTGCTTAATAGAGCCGAGAAAAATAAATATCTTACTGAACTAAATAATCTGCCAAGAAGGGTGACCTTTCAGAAGCTGAGAAATTTTACAACGATTTAATTCATCATTACGCTTTATTTTTCACTGACTTTTTAAAAATCCAGACTTACGAAAAAAAAAACGCATGATCAATTCAGATTGAGGCGAGAGCTATAATAATGAGAGATATAATAACGAATTCAAAAAAATGTAACCAAAGTAAACCTTAACTCGAAATTGCAGACGGAGAAAAATGTTTAGTTTATACATACATACAATCACGTAGTAAATGAACAATAGGTATAGTATATTTTGGAAGAACTAAATGCTTTGTTACGTTTACGAAACTGTTGTTTAAGTAAACATATTAATGCACGTATAGTAATGTTCACCAAACAGGTCGTAATATTAACTCAACAGATTGCAGTGAAAATTACTAAACGGATAGTTGGGTTTCGTAAATTACTAAACGCAGATGAGTAAGACCCATTAAGCAAAAACATGAAAGGGAATATTTTCTTTCCATCTCTTCTGTAAATTAGTTTAACAAAAATGTTTCTCAGTGGTCAGTCTCTCAATGTCTCTCAAATATTATGTTCAGAGTATATTCCCACACGAATAATTGGATTTACAATATGATCGTTCACTAATGTTGTTCAGTAGAATATATTGTATTACAACATTTCTCTCGGTGTAGAAGTTACCAAGAAGCTAAGTAGTTTGTCAAATTCTGAGTAATAATTTAATGTTTCTTAAGTACTTCTGATTTATAGATTAAGGAACATGTACTATATCAAGAAAGAATAGAAACGTCACTAAAAACTCACTACAACTGAAACTTCGCAGTTATGTTCAAAAATTAAAAACTACTCCCCAAATGGAAAAATCGTGTTGACAACACAGGAGGCTGCCACCATTTATCACACAAAATGTGAGTAGTTCGTACAAAGCTTTTCCCCGATACATTTGTTCCCTCATCTGCTAATGACGTATCCTCGCCCAGTGCTTCCGAGGCGTACGCCTGAGCACTTCCCAAGCAACACTCGATTGTTCGTGGCGACCACGACGCCGTATGAGCCGGGGGCAACGCGAAGGGTGCAAAGAGGGGGGGGTGGGGGTTCACTCGGGGGCCCCCGTACCGACGCGACGTCGCCCGCCCTCCCCCTCCCCGTCCCCGCCACGCGCCGGCGCGGCGCCCCGCCCGCGCCACGCGCGCTGCTCTCGGCGCGCCAGCGACTTGTTTGATATCGTGAAACATTGAAACGAGACGCTTGCCTTCGAGAGCGCGGCGCGTGACCTGCGCCGGGGAGGAAGGAGGCGTAGCGACAGCGTGCGCTGCGGTGGAGAGGAGGGGCCTGTGGCGGCCGGAGGGGGGGTGGCAGGTGATAGCGATGACGCGTGCGGTGGATTTTGCGTTTTGATGGTGGTTGCGGTAGAGGTGGTGGTGGTTTCGGTGGAGACTGACGGCAGCAATGGTATTGGTGGTGGGGGTGGTGGTTGTGGCGGTGCGGATGGGTGGCCGTGGTAATGTAACAGATAAAGGCGTTAGTGATGGCAGTGATGACGGTTACTGTAAAGGGGTGGCGGTGGTTGCGATGGTGCTTGCGGTGGTGGTTGCGGTGTGGGTTATGGTGACCGTGGTAGGCGAGTGGTGACAATGACAATGATTGACGCGGCCGACGTGAAAGTTGAGATAGAGGTGGTGAGGATGGCGGTGGCGATGGGGGACGATTGCGATCGTGATGCCGTTGAGGTGTGAATGGCTTTGTAATTGCTGTGGCGTTAGCGGTGACTTTGGCTGAGATTGCGCCAGAGACGGTGATGCCGGGCTCTGTGATAGCGGTATTGATGGCGCGTGGGGTTGTAGTTGCGGTGGGATTGGTGGTGGCTGCGCAGTGGACAATGGAGGCAATTGAAGTGAAATAGTGCTGACTGGTGGTGGTGGTGCCTGAGACGACAGTGCCGGAGACAAGCAACTGACTAGTAGTAGTGAAGTGGAGATTCTGGTGTATGTGACGTTTTGAATAGATTTTCAGGAATGAACAGATTAATTTTATGTATTTGCGTAAAAACAACAAAGTTTGTGAAGTCATGATTGTGAAAGTATTGAATGAGAAGGATCGTATTAGAGATAGGAAAAGATATTCCAAACGAATGACTGAATAGATTGAGTCGAGTTATCTATCAATGAAATGCCAGAACGTCAACCTGTCTCGCGAATCCAACATTCACATTGTTAATAATAGTTTTGATAATGATGGAAATTTGCCCTTATTGTGCATTTAGTAAGAATAGTTTTAAGGTTCATCATTTCAGTAGAGTTTTTGGCAAATTTTCGGAATGAGTAGTTGAAATATATCACATGTTCATTTTAAGAACGATATAGAGACATCAATTTCATGAGCAGGGTTCTCTTGACAGATACAATTTATCTAAAAGAAATGAGACGTCCCACTGTTCGAACAAAAAGGACATAGGTTCAAAACGCTTGCCTCATGGAGATAATCCCACGCCACCCTCCCTCTGCAATCGCCTGCCACACCCCACATGGAACCTAAATAAACCGATCGCACCCCGTCTTAAATCGGATTCGAATAGCCTCCCCTCACGCCGGCAGCCGACGCGGGAATCGGCCGTTATAAAGAATGTCACCCCCCGACATAATGGCGGGCGCGGCCTCCATTAGTTCGTCACGCATCCGCGAGTGAGCAGAACTGTCGCTCGCCTCTAACAAACTGGAGCGGCAATAGGCACAAAACGTCGGTTAAACGCACTTAGCAATGCAGAGCAGCCGAGCGCAGCAGCGCCGAGGGCGGTTGGAGCAATTATCCCGACGCGCACTCCGGGGGGGTGGAGGTGCCGGCGGAGGCGGCGGGACGCAGCGCGCTCGCGGAGCCACAATGCCCCGCGCCGACAAAGCGTCCGCGCCGCCATTCAGCTGCGACTGAATCGCCTCCCCTCACCCGCCTCCCCGCCCCTTGCCTATTGAGCTGGGCGCGATGGAAACCAGATCAAAATATTTAAATACATTATATTCGCGCGTAGGGATTGTGAGAGATGAAAATGATACGAAATGGCCATGCTGACGCCCAGCTTCGATGTGAGGGGGTGAAGGGGTAGCAGGAGAGATTGAATGTTATGTTATATTTTTAGCGGTGCGAATGAGAGAACTTTTTTCGACAAATGGGAGCTCTCTCGCGACGACAAATGGTCTGGTTGCAGGCGAATGAGAGGCGCGAGAAAAGCTATAGATATACTATAATAATTTGGCACGTTTTTGTAAGAGAAATTGTCAGCCACTTATACTAATTTGTTGAATATTTTTGCATATCAATCAATCAGATACAAAATTTCCCGTTATATTTGCTATCTCCTCCTTTTATTTTTAAGATCACATGGTCTGAAAACGGTATTATAATAATCATAAATGTTGGACTTAGTATTATTTTGTAATGTTTCATCTTCTAACAATGAAGACATTAACAGTACTTCATATTTCTTTCATTACCTGTTTTAAATTGTTATTTGTGCCTGTCGCAATCCCTTAACTTAAATTCTCACCGTGTTTTTGTGATTCTCAATGACATTATTATTTTACATATTACCCATTATGACTTTGAAGAGGAAAATGGCATCATTGTTATCACACATATTTGTGGCGCGAATTAAGGTATTATACAAGTGCGTCTAATTGGACATGCTGGTGAGGTTCTTCTAAATAAAATTGCTTAATATAGTTCAGTTTATGTCGTTCAGTAACACAATGTTCGTAATAGAATTCTCCCAAGAAAGAAATTATCAAAATATTCTAAAGTAGTTTCAGTAAACATTTCAAGAATCACAGGGCAAGAAGGGAGATTAAATCTTGTATACAGATTTAATAAGGAGGGAAATATATTCATTTTTGATATTTCTCTTTATTTGTGATCTGACTTTCAGTTTTAATATCTCGCAGATATACGATCACTGTTGTTACAGTGATACTTCTTTCCTCCCAGCCAATTTGCGCCATCTGCGAAGTCTGCCAGGCGAAAATTAGAATCAGGAAGGCGTCCTTTTCTCATCAACGATTCCTGTTGTTTTAATTGTGGGACAATTCCCTCAGAAACTTCAAATTATCTTCCTTTTCCTTCTAATCACCTCCAACTTTCCCTCTGTTTCGCCTCTCCCGACTGCTAAATTTTACGGCAGAGGCGGAGGCCGTCGCGAGTCCCTTTGTTACTGCCGGCGCCGGAGCCGCCGCGTCGCTGCTTCGTACAGCTGCCAAACCGCCTCGCCCCGCCCCTCCCCTTCACCCCGCCGCGCCGCGCGTAAGTTTCTTGGCAGTGCGCGAAGAGGTGGGATCTCTGAGAGGAGGTGCCGGAGGCCGAGGGGATGGAGGAGAGAGCAGCTGCAGCGACAGCGCCTCCATCTCCACCTCCCCTTCCTTACGGTCTCGCCCGGGATAAGCAAAGACCTTCCGGTACTTGCTCCGTCACCCCCGCCGTCTTCCAACCACCCCACCCCGCGCAAAAACCGACCTCCACCCCTCCCCCTCTCCGCTCCTCGCACCTCACTCGGGCACATTCCGAATTAGTCTGCGGCCTTCGTCTCGTAACACGCCCTTCCTTCCCTTTGTCCTTAACTCAGATACACAATTAAAACTGTTAGGGTGTTTATGGGCGCGGGAGGGCTTTGGAAATCTCTGCACGCCGCGCGTGTCTGTCTTATGAGCCATCGGCGCGGCCTGGCGTCCCTGCGGGGGATGGAAAGGGTCTTCGGCGCCCTTGGCGTCTTGGGCGGCGACGCGACGACGCGACGCGCGGACGCCTGTCACATCTTTGGCGGCGGCGGCGAGGGCGCGGGCGAGGGCGGCGACGTGGATGAGGGACGAGGGGGCTTTAATTAAAACCCATTAACGTCTTAATTAGGAATTAAATTTACGTGCTGGGACTGGGAGAGCGCTGGCTGCGCTCCGGCGGTAGTAAAGCAGGGGCGCCGTCCTCCCCGCCCCTCCCCTCCCCCTCACCCCGAGGCGCCGCGCGCCCGCGATCTGCACCACGTGCGCCGCGGAGGCTGCGCCAGGGCTGCCCAGCGGACGAGCCAGCGCGAGGGTCGGCGCTGTCACATCACACACCAGCGACTACTACGATTTTTCCTCCTCATCACAGGTAATGGGAGACGTCTGGACCTTCTTACATCTTGTTGACAATTATGTCCAGTGTTTATAATGTTTAATTAACATATTCATTTATTTATAATATAACGAATTTGATAATAATATATTTAAACAACATAACCAGTGCAGGAAAGTGTAGAAATAAAAGTTGTTCAGCTGGAACATATTCGTCACTGATTGGAAGAAGTTAGTTCGCAAGGGTGCTACCTTGTTAACGTTTGATCACATTGAGTCACAATTCTTGAGACACTGTGTAAAAAATAACAGTTAATATCAAAGCGATGCTAATTAACGGGCCTGACATAATATCTGATATCTATTATCACATTTGTCATAATTCTTATATGATTCATGATATGATTAGAAAACAAAACACTAGTAAACATCAGCAAACGTTGCTTTCATGAATCAGATTTCCTACAGTATATTTCAAAGTTTGAAATGATATATTTTATTACTAAAGAGAAATCCCAGTTTTAGTAAATATGTGCTAGTAGCATATAATAAATGCTGATATTTGAAATTTATTTATTGAAGAAATATTTTAATGTAATAGATGTCTTATCTATGTTAATTAACATCATTTTCAGTACACTGTTTCAGATATTTTCAGTGTTTTAAAACAGTCGTCAATTATAATCTATCATTGGTCATTCGTGAGGAAGGAATTTATGAATAATCTCGTGTTATTGCCACACAATTGAATAGCATTCATAATTATTTATATGTTAACTAAAGACATTAATAAAAACGTGATAAAAGTAGATGAATAATAAATATTCTGCTTTTTTATCCTTTCACTAATTCTGTGTGATTAGAAACGAAAGTTCTGTTCAGTACCTAAAATAGCTGTTCCCTGAAAAAATGATAGTAATTAATTTATGTCCTAGACATTTAGTACTTCATATAAAATTATGAAGATATTCTCAAGTATTACGACAACTGACCCATCGAACACGTTGTACTATTTTACAGCAAATTTTGGCACTAGTCGAGCACTATCGCCACAAATCTACCACCTTCCTGTCCGTTGATAGCTTAACTTGAGTTAAACATGAAGATGAATACGAGGAAACTACCATCTGGAATAGTTCAGAGGTAGCACCATTCCATCTGCAACGTCGTTGACGGTTGAGGTTCGAGTACCGATAGGGCGTTTTCGACGACAGAGAGATTTTTTCATTTTTTTTTTCATTTATTTCCTTCTTGTTCGGCGTGTCGCCTTTCTAGGGATTGAATACAATAGTATTTTCATAATTAGGAATGAGCATCCTTGTCTATTTGAGCTTTACATGGTTGTTAAGCTTCGACAGAGAGCTGGGGCCAATTGAATCTTGCGGAGGATTCTAGCGATCGGCACCTTTGATTTCTAGTTTTCTAAAGCTTCGTCGATCAAAACTATGTGAATGTCGAAGTATTACCACAAAAAACAATCTCAGACCTTGAACAATTTTTCCATCCTCATCCTCGTCTCCTCTTCCCTTATACCCACTGGAACATACATGCCCTTCACCACGTACATGTCGAGAGGCTAGTCGGATGCTTAAAGCTTGCCGCAGCCCCCACGAGAATCCACAAGGTAGATTTTGGGTTGACGCCGGATATCACCATCCAGCGGGAGGGTGCACTTCCACTTCTAGGGATACGTCCTACAGTAATTTTAGGAAACTAATGTTTAATTAATTGACGCGCCAGGAAACAATAATTCTAATTCACTCACTGACTCATAACTTCCCTTGATCTAAATGACAAATGTCACTAGATAAAAGCGCGTAAACTTTCAGAGCTACTGTTGCGAAAGTGACTTAGGGTCGTGTGCGACCCCTGTGGGTCCTGAGAAGGGCCAAGGCCGTGAAGTGCACGGCCGCTCGGCGTCTTAGGCCTTACGAGCGCTCTGCCAAAGCTCTTCGCGCGCTCGTAAACGCGATGCCCTGGAGGAAGCGGCGGCGGCGGCGGCGGAGAAGGAGGAGGGCGACGGGGCGCGAAGAAGTATCGAGCCCGGAGTGGGGACACCTGTGCGCTGATATTAACCTCGTCACCCGGCCGCTCTACTCAACTGGCAGGGCGTCGCAGTGCTTCTGGGCGGGCGGGCGGACTTCCACATGGGAGACGACAAGGTTTTGGAGTGTTCTCGTATATAAACTATGCACAATGTACGAAAACAGGGAAGTAGAAACAACGAACTTGTACTGAAGACTCTTTTTACATCTTATAATACTATAATTTTGACAAAACAATTTTTTGTTTTCAAAAATAAATTTATTTTCTTCACGAAATATGAGTTTAAAATTATATAAAAAAAACAGACGAACTAATGAGATTAGATCATGAAACAAAATAAATTTATTTGAGAAGAAACAGTTGAGATGAGTCAAAGCATTAAGTGATATTCCTGCAGTGCCTCTGATCGTGAGGTCATAGGGTTCAATTCCAACCAGTGGCAGAAGTTTCACCATTAGCTAGATTCAGCTATTGTCTGGAGTAGAATTCTTTTCTGATCGGTAGTTTTCTCTGCTTTTTTTATCAGTACGAGACGAATGCCGGATAAATACTTTAAAAAACGGGCCATGGATCGCGCGCCATCTTTCGTCTTCCATGTCATATTTGCAGCACTTATTTATACACATGTACAATAGCATGCCCTCATGTCAGGAGATCAGTAGGAAGCTTAGAGCTTGTTCTGGTTGGGTCGGTGCTCCGCTGGTAATAGATTCATGGATAGGAGAAAAAACATCAGCAAAGCGACGTGTAGTTCGACACCGGATCTCTCCATCAGGTGACGGAAGAATACCGCCATCTCCAGTGATTCAACCACGTGTTACACTTACGGAACTAATGACTATAGCAGTTGACAAGCTGAGAGTCATGGAATAATCAATCCGTCATATTTTCAAAAGAGCTCTGTCGCACGTTTACGTACACAATGTTACAATTAGGAAGTTAATTTAATTCACAGCACAGGCTTAATGGGAAAAAAAGGAAAAAAAAACAGATGAAAACGCACGTCTTAATAGTAGTGTTGAAACGAACACAGTTTACGAAGATCTGTTTTCAAAAAGCTTCCTCTTACTCCTGATCTCTCTCTGGGGCCCACTCTAGGGGATTGCAGGGCCCCCAGAGAGCGCTGCGTTCGCTTGTTGGCAGAGCGAGCACATATGTGTTGTGGTGCGTTATCGTTGGCATTTATAATGAAATAATTATATGCGTCGTCATTGCCAACAATATTATAAATATAACTACCAAACATCTGAATGACTGTCAGCTTGTCAACTGCTATAGTCATTAGTCCCGTAAGTGTAACACGTGGTTTAATCACTGGAGGTGGCGGTGTTTTTTCCGCTACTAGATGGATAATATTACAAATATAATATTGTCCGCAATGACGACGCATATAATTATTTCTTCAGAGCGTGCACAGCCTGAGCCCATCGCGAGCATCGCCCGCGCGGTGGACATCGCGTCGCCTCGCGTTGCTCGTCGCGTGCGCCGCCTGCCCCCCCGCCGGGCGAGCGCAGGGACGCGGGGCGGGGCGTCGCCCGGGCGCGTGCGTGTGGTCATGCCCGTAACCGCCGCGCTTCGTAAAAAGGCCTGCTCCTGCGCCATTCGATTTCCCCGCCCCGCCTCCGCCCCCGAGGCCAGCCCGCCCGGCGGCGCGCGCCGCGGCCGCCGCCGCGGGAATGAATGATCAGGGGCGACGTGCGGGCTGTAGGATTTTGGTCGGCCGAGAGCTCGGATTCGTCGTTGCCGCTTCCGCGACTAAACACGGCGCTGCTTGGTAGATGCTGCTCATACACACGCTGGTGTGGCGGTGAGGCTGCTGGCTTCGGAATTGGATACCAAGAACTGTAGTCAAACAGTTTTCTTTTATCAAGTACATAAAAAGAATTAACGTGTCGAATACATTAATCCATTCATTCTAGGTAATTACGTTTTTAAATCTAACAGGACAATTCTGTTTCTTGTGGGCGTTTAAAAAGAAATCATCGAATTATTTAGAAAAATATATTCTGAATATAAAAGAATAATTTATCAACGTTTTTCGGATGTCAATATTGTATCTTCATACATTCGTAATTTAAATATAAAATATTTTAATATGAAGGTTTTATGCTTTCACTATCACCTGAAAACACTTACTAAGAAATGTTTTAAAAATTCAGTATTGAGTCAACGACATTACACAAGTTGCTTGTAAAATTAGTTTTCAACCCAATATATTTCATATGAAACATAACTATGGTGAACTTCATGTAGTAAAACATTACAGCTGAAGCAATATTAAAGGAGGAACCACTACTCCTACGGCATACAGTTTAAACGACATGATCTGATTCTATGTGCACAGCCAGACTACTCATTTAACTGCTTATCTTCGTAGCGCGGTCTCTGCTTCTTCTTCACGCATGAGCGACACGTGATGCTCACTAACGTGAATCCCGGCAATGAGGAACACAGCGACGAGCGCCTGGAAGACAGTGATGCACAGGAAGCGTATATCGTGACCTTCAGTTTCAAGAATAAAATGATGTGAACATACAAAATGATACACTACAATGATGTGAACGTACAAAACAAATGTAGAGAAATTTCTTTTCTTTATTTCTCTTCTTCTTAGGTTTACGAATATTTTAAATAATCAATCAAAGTTCAGATTTCTCGATATCTGAGGTCAATAATAGCTGTCTCTCTTACTCCTCTAGTTTTCGGATAGCGTGGGCTG